TTGATTACGCGTGCTTGCTCGTGTTATAACCAATAGAACGAATATGCCTAAAATACCAACAATATCAGTTGGAAAAAAAATAAAAAATGAAAGAGGCCGCATCTCCACGTGGTGAATGATGTTGATTGGGGCGAAGCTCTGGTGGTGCTGATGATACTGATTTTATTGTTCATAGGTAGTGCTGATGGTGCTGATTTTTTTTTTTATTGCTCAATGGTAGTGCTGAGTTCCGGGTTGCGTGTCGACTTTATTATTACTGCTTTATGGTCAGGGAAATGCAGAGCCAGTGGTTCGTCTAGCGGATCAGCTTGGATCCGCTAGAAGCCGTGGGAACACATCTCCACCGCTTAAGTCAACGGTCCATGTCAGAAAGAGCATGTGTGGTATGGATCATGGTCATATACGCAGTTGAGCATTTTACCGCAGCACCCTCTTGTCTATAAACGTTGAGCCAATGCATGCAAAGTTTAACGCGATTATATACGCATTTGACTGCAGCGCCCTCTCCTGTATAGACGTTGAGCGGCTACATACAACGTTGGAGTGTTTGTTGTATGTTTTTCTGTAAATGTCCATATCCCGGCAAAAAAGAAACAAAAAAAGTAGCGGAGTGGTTAAGACGTCTGCCTCGTAAGCAAGCGGCCCTGAGTTCGAACCCCCGTGCTGGCGTAGGTCTTTTTTTTAAAGTGGGCCGATCCCGGAGGCAGTGCAACCGACGTGAGCACGGACGCCGGACGGATGGACAAGGCCAGACCCTAAGGAGCTTCGCCCCTAAAACTAGAATTCCGCGATTGGAAGACAGAAGGTGGGAGACAAAGAAAACAGCTGTTTTTTGTGTGTTTGCCTTTTTTCTGTCCTTAGTCTGGCACGCTACGTACGCCGCGGTTAGCTCTTTTTTAGCCATTGTTTCCTATGATCAGAACTTCGTGACGAATTCAGTGTGACATATCTGTATTCCGTTTGCAGAGATGCGGAGTGTCGGTGATTCCATTGTTCCATTTCGAATCACGGCTCTCACAACCGATCAAAATTGAATAAAAAAAAAAAAAGAAGAAAGGTTGAAAGCCGATTACGCGAAATAATGACCGCCTGCCAAGCTCCGATACTGTTTCCCGAATAACATGAATACGCGATTATGGCCTGCGTGGCAATCGATAGACGAAGGTTCGCCTATCTGATGTCTGTCCCGCAAAGAGCCGTTAAGAGTGCAGAAGTCACCGCGGTGTCCCACTTAGGCCAACGGTGCGCTTCGCGGATCCAACAGGCAGCAGACGAACTTTTATCGCTTCTTTTTGTTTTTTCGGCACTTGACCTCTTCGCCATTTTCGAGACGCTGTTTGCTTGCTTGTTTCGCGAGCACAGGACAATTCGCTCATAGGTGCGCACATCACGTGATAATTTTTTTTTTTTTAATTTTATCCGTCCTAAGTTGTTGCCCGTCTGCTATGCCACTGCATACATTTTTCATCAAAATGTTACGATCGTAGAAAGTTGGACGACACGTGTCTCGATATAGCGAGGTAGGTTTGCTCTTGTTCTGGTGAGACTGGCTCACGCAGTGGATGAGACATTTTGCCAGAGTTTAACGAGCACCAACATCATAGATGTTGAAGCCATTTTATCGGAATATCACCCGGCAGAAATTAAAAAAAAAAAGCAAATGCTGCAAGATTCATGACAGGTTAAAGAAATATTGTTACCTTAAAAAGGCTATTTTGATATCTCACACTCTTGTTTCAACGCGAAGGACATCCGTCAAAAGCTACCTGAATAATTATAACATTCTAATTTTAGTACTATTCCTCAGATAGTAAACAAAATATAGTAAAACAAAGCTTTTCAGTACTTTATAAAACCCCATTAATAAGTTTGAAAACACCGAAAAAAAAAACTATATCTCTTTGGGAACGATTCGATTGAGGTGCGATGCCTACTAGCTCCCCTAAAAACGTAAACCATCTAACAATATTATGATTTTTCGAAATTGATGCATAAATGAGGGTTTCATCTATTCCAGAATAGTCATATTGCAGCTGGCATGGCCAAGTTCGCATCGCTCGCGGCTCCCACGCGAAGGCACGAGGTTCGAACCCCATCAGTCTAGTCGTTTTATTTTATATTTCGCGACTCTTCTAGAGCGCTCTATGTTTATTTCACCTTAAGCCTACATGCAACCGATGCTATGAGGTGATGAGACGAATCAGACAGCGTCAAAAGCGGGCCACCATGGTGTTCGTCATGTTCCTCTACGTGTTCTATCATCGCTGAACCAATCATAAACCAAAAATCAAAAATGCCCAGTGACTTGCACTTTTGACGCTGCTTCATTGGTTCCATTATGTCATTAGCGTCGGCTGCGTCTGGGCTTAAGCTGAAACGAAGTATAGCAGAATCGCGTAACGTATCGGTTCTTCCTGTACAGAATGCTCTATAAAAGAAACAGACGGCAACACTATAGCATGCCGCCCTTCCGTCACAGACGCATGACGTGTAAACACCTTTTCTTTTTTTTTTAAAGTTTGTAAGCACACGTTTGCCCCATTAAAGGTTCATTTTAAATTTTACTTTCATCCGCTTGTTTTTATTCGTGAAAATACATATGATCTATCATTGAAGTCAGTCTTTTGAGGGATACACCACGTTTCCCCTGAGGCCTTCATTCACGATATGGGTAAACGAATGGGAATTTAAGGTCACATTAGGCATACGATAAAAGGCCTAAACATATGCAGCGATACGGTCCGTTAGACGCCTGTTCTAGCTACTATTCATCACCTAAGAACAATTATAGGAAATTGATATTTGAGACCGCACTATTTCTCGTCGCCCCGCTCCTTAAAACAGGGCAAACCATATTCAAAGTTTTACTTATACAGGAAGCTCTCAATTTACAAAGCGTACAAATATGTAGTCGGGAGTGGAGCACACGTGTATCTTTATCGTAGCGCAAAATTATATAGTAAAACTCCTTATTAATCGCCAACGTAGATTTGCTGCATGCTACACCCAAGTACACCGGCTTTCAAGATTCCTATGTCGTTCCATAGCCTCTTTTATTCTAGAAATTTGACCAAATCGCTGAAGAACATAAACGCTGTAAAGGGAAAAGGAGGTCAGGGGAAAGGGCGCGCGCAGGTGGCCTGTCAGGCAGTGCCAAATAATGCCCCAGTGGTAAAACACGGAAACACGGACGTGCTCCTTTTTGCTTCGTTTCTTTCAAGAAAGAAGTCAATTTTGCGTCGGCCCTCCACTATTTCGCCACACTCTCGTCTCTCCATGCGCCGGCGATCTGCTTTCATCCCCTCCTTTCTCTTTCTCCATCTCTTACTGTACTGCCCTGGGGCTCTAATCTGAACACATGGCGAAAAAAGTCGTCAAAGAATTCGACCGCCGTGAATAGCCGGCGCCAAGGTCAAGCGCAGCGCCGTCCAATCATGGCCGCTGAATTCCTCGGTGACTTTTTCGCACAGTTTCTAGATTAGAGCACCTGGCTGACCGACCGCGCCTGGGGTTGGACCATGATCTCGGAGGTAACGCAAACATCCAAACGCCGATCTGTTTCGCGGAGAGGCCGCAGGCCGCGGCGTGGCACTGGCTCCCTGACCAACCGAGAGGTGGCTCTGCTCTACCATGTCGGTAACCGTTCGGCGCTGCTCCTCGCATTTTACATGCGGTTGCGCGTTCCATGGATCCGTGGTTGCTGGCTTCACTCCTATTGCTTCTAGGCAGACGATGCACCCACTGAAATACGTTGTGGATTAGACGCTACATTATTCAAAACCCTGTCAAAATGTTTGTTTATTGTGGTTGGCAATAGAGAAATCGTGCTTGATGGTGCCGGAGGAGCTTGCGCACGTGAATGGAAACGTTTGGTACTAGCATAAGCTTTAAATTTGCCCGAGAACAAACAATCTAGAATGAATCTTTATTATCATTTTTCTTTACCTATAGTTTACAGCGCACAAGAACAATTTTGTTCACACATCATCGGTGTTTTGTCAGTTATTTGAGCACATTTTTTTAAACACAGAATGGTTTTGTTTGGGTGCTTTTTTATGAGAAAATTCTCATGAACGAGCGTCATAAACGACCGTTACAGCGAGCGTCATGAACGGGTGACGCGCTGAGAGCCCACCTTAAAGTTAGAAAGTTCATTTATGCAAGCGTGCTAGTAGCAAGTTTTCAATGCCTATAATAAAATGAATTATTAAAAAAAAGAAGCAAAACGATATGATAAAATAAAATAAACAAATATATATATATATATATATATATAACAAAAAATTGTAATAATGATAAAGCAAAAATAAATATAAATAGACAATCAACAAAAACTCCACAATAAAAGAAAACAAACAAATTAGAAATATCATATAAAAATAAAATAAAGGTAAAATAAAAATACCTTAAAATTAAAAGTTAAACAAATAGCTAATAAAAAGATTAAAAAATCTTGCACAAAGGGCACACAGGGTATGTGCGGGACACATTCTGTGCTCCTTTGTCAGCAGGATCAGCCCTGTATAATTTTGTTTTTATTGATCCTGTTCAAATTGTGAGAATATATTGTGCGGACGTTCAGTCCGCGGGAAGTTTCTCTGCCTTGAAATAGTGTTCCCGTCTCCGCCATGATGGAAACGGTGCAGTACGACCCTGGGGTAATTAATGTGCGACATGCGGTAGTCTGTTCTAGAATGGTAATCGATTAAAATCTGCAGAAACATAAACCATCATAAAATGGTCACCTGTATCTAATGAACCCAAGACGTCTACTGAAACAAGTTAATGTTAAAGCTAATATAATGCATTAACATTTTATGATCAATGTTTTGTGCACATCGTGGAGCAAATGTGCGCTCGTAGAGCGGCTGCAAAGACACTTTCTTATAAATATAGTTTTACATACGCGTATAAATATACGTAAAATCTTGCCGAACCCTCCTATAGAAGTTTGAAAACAAACTAAGAAAAAGGTATGTTTTGTCTTTGAAAACAAACAGGGATGGGCCGGAGTGGATCGAGAGGCGCCGGAGTCTAAACAACGTCTTCCTCAAGCCCAAGACAGTGACGGACCACGTGCCCGTCTTCAACGACGTCATTGCTGACCTCCTGGACCGGTGGCAGGAGACGCGAGACCACAGCGGCGTCCTAGAAAACCTGGAGCGAGAACTTTACAACTGGTCCATAGAATGTAAGTCGACTTCGCCCCCCCCCCCCCTCCTCTCCCCCCGTTCTTAACTGTGCCCAAATTCCGCATTTCTTGGTTTGTTCTCCCGGACTGTCAACATCAATGGCAACAGAACGTTGGCTTGTGCTACATAGCAATATAGCTCATTCAGTTTGACTACTTTCGTTCGACGTCTGCCTTTAACAAGCTCTTAATGGTGCATACCTCTGTTGAGTATTCTAGTTCATGTTATTTTATACTACGTATACACATGCATCTTTAAAGAATCATTGCGTGGCAGCCCCCATGACAAGACGTTGCTGGATTGTCGAGAGGTAGTCAAGTCCCACGGCCCGTCTTCCCGTGACCGCAACAAGTCCTTGTACGTCCATTTCAGCATTAGGGACGATGATCTTCGGTCGGCGGCTTGGGTGCATCGCCAGTTCGTCGAGCATGGAGAACGTGCACGAATTCGTTCACTGCGTGCAACAGATCTTCAACGAGTCCGCCAAGATGTCCATGATGTCCCCTCGAGTCGCCTACAAGCTCGGACTCCCCGTCTGGAAACGTTTCGTCAAGGCCGCTGGACGTGCCCTAGAACTCGGTGAGACACGGAGCGTCGCAACGTCCTTGCTCCTGGAGTCACTTCGTGAACGATCTTTCCTGCTTCGGCTGTGCTCTCTCTAAAGGGGACAAAATCTAACCTTGCACTGGGGAGAAGAAAGGTAGATTACGACGATAATCTGGAAGATAATCATATTCTAATCGGAGGGCGCTGGCAGATATGGCAGTACTAACATGAGGATAGATAGCGAAACACTTAACCGAATTTGCTGCCGTTATACGTTTTGGTTGCTTTACATCCTATTTCTTCATTTGGTTGGCAGAAATTTCTTAGCACACAGAAAGCCCCGTCTTTTTCTACTAAAAATACGAATGCAGAAAAGAAATTCTACCAAGTCTCTTGTAACTCAAATGCTGGCCGATTTTATAGATAGGCTCATGGTAAAACTGCCTGATATTTTCAGCGATTCTGACTGTCGTTCACAGTAGGAACTATTTTATGAACGGCGGATGCACATATATGTACTTGTGGCTACAGGCAATATCTGACAGACGACAAGCAGGGATGTTACAGCGAACGTCTTTGCGTCTTCTCAGCCAGGGACTACGTAGAAGAGAACGTGAGGAACATTGCCAGCGGAACATCGGCGGGGCAAAGTCACCAAGGCATCCTTAGTCAGCTCCTGCTCGGCGAGAGAATCTCCGAAGAGGAACTCGTCCGGATAGTGACGGATCTGTTCCTGGCTGCGGCAGACACGGTACGGAGCGCTCTAATTTCCTTTTTTTATTATCTACTGTAGCTGGACTAGGAGAAACAACGATTTGTAGGTGTCACGTCACTAGCTGAGACCGCTGCAATTGCCTCAACAGTGGGCGCCAATTTTGGTTTTCAAAAGCGTTTTGAAAACGTCATTCGCCTCAAAGTTGGAGAGCTGCTCAGTTTAGTTCGCACGTCAGTCCAGTTGCGTCGTGGCGTCTTGTCAAGGCCACGCTTCTTTGCCACTAGCAACCATGTCTCTCCCGTTAACTATGTCGTTCGCAGTTTTGGAAAAAAAACGTATGCCGACACATGGCTGTGAGGTCTTTAATGAAAGCATTTTGTGCTTTCAACCTAACTCGGTATCCGAGAAAGGGTTTTGAATTTTGCTTTAGTGGACAGCTACAGACTCGGTACAACTAGCCATGATGATAATACAATTAATGCGAAGGCGCAAGCGAGCTGGACAACGGTTGCTTGCACCTTTGTCCCCCTTGTTCCCCTTCTCCAAGGATTATTTTTATCATAACTAGCCAATTCAGTTTCATTAGATCTTAACGTCGCTTTCAAACATGGGGATAAACAGAAGAAGTTGACAACTTTATTATGCAATATTACGAAGTGTCGGGCTTTCTGCGTCATACGCAGTTTAACTTACATCGCCATTTCTTTACTAATCATTGCTGCTTGTTAAGCTAATAGAACTAAGTCATAACAAGTCACTGTTCAATGCAGACATCGCACGCCACACAGTGGGCCTTTTACCTGTTGGCCAAGAATCCCGAACGCCAGGAAAGACTGCTCGAAGAAGTACAGAGCGTCGTGCCTCACAATCAACACGTTGACGAAGACTGCCTCGCGCGGCTACCCTACGTCAAGGCCGTCATCCGGGAAGCTCTACGGTACGTTCACTCCACCGGGAGCACAACCTACATCTTGTGCAATCTGCACTGTTCAAATTGTTCAGCCGCCAAGCTGGTTGCGGTAAATGTAAACGGTTCACAAGCTCGCTTCTTTCAATTTCAAGCTTTTCATCAGTGGGCCTCGAACATCGTGGCGAAGGAAGCAATATACCATGTAACGGATTAGGGGTTGCGTTAATTACGAGCGTTTGTGTATAATCCTCCCAGCAATAACACGACTAGAAACCGTGTAATTGGCTGGATATAAAGTTGCCATGAGTGTTTCGCATTGTAATTTTACTGCAAAGTTTTTTTTTTTTTTTTTTTGCGTTCACACTTAGAAGTGGGTTTGCGAAGAATAGATTCGCATTGCACTCAGCAGGAGGATATTAAAAGGTACGCACAGTCTTGTACCGTAGCCCAAGTATATCGGAAGCTTTCATTTTGTGAAGGAGACTAACTAAATGGGCTGCGCGCTAATTTTTCTGAAGCTCCGGCTGGTCCGGGCGCTATGATGTGATTATTAGCAATATTCCCACTTTGTTGGGCAATTTTTCATGAAACCAAATTCCCTGAACACCTTAAATGAATGCTGTTTTTTTTTCTTCCTGCATTGTCTACAAAGTCTCACCAGAATTGCATCCGTTGCAGGTTATATCCAGTAGCGCCGTTCCTAACGAGAATCCTCTCCGAAGACATCGTTCTCAACGGTTACACCGTTCCTGCGGGGGTACGTGTCGTTTGAAAACTCCCGGTGCAAGTGGCTCACTGGCCAGAGGCTTTTGGGGGAAACCGATTCTGGCATTCGATAGCCCTGTGCTAGCCTCCATCACGGCGCGTGCGACATCGCCAAGGTGGCTTCTGCGCACTACAGACAAACGGCGCTTCCCGTCGTGCATCGTGTATTGCACAAGCAACCGGTTCCTTCAATTGTTACTTTCTATTTATAAAAGCTATCCTTGTTATGTGAACACATGGGATAAACTCTAGGCATAGGTTATTAAATATTTTTAAGTGGTGGATAGGCTGACAGTCCTCATCTTTCTTGTCAAAATAAAGTCCTGGAAGATGTTACCAACGGCAAATGTTCCCCAAACGTGCATCCTTGCCTTCTGGTTCATGTCAAATAATTTGAATTAGGCTAAATATAGTTTTGTCTAACTCGATGTAGGCGCGTGGGTGCAAGCATACGTATTTCGCAAGTAAACGCGACAGAAAAAGCAGGCTGACGCAGATCTACTGTAACAATTACAAAGCACGGTTAACCACAACAAGGGGCTTTTTCGTTTTTTTTTTTTTTTTAATGTGAGAGCTGTGCGCCAATTGTATTCTAGCTGCTGCTCGGTCACAATTGACTCTCACGATTAGTTTTTCTCTCGTGCATTAACCATTGGGCTCTAGGGCTGCGTTCGCGCCAGTGGTGGAAACGCTCAGATGCAACGTGACCCTTATCTGCACGGCGGACGACCTCAGCTTATGCAAGAGAAGGTCTAAGCCAAAGAACACGAGTATATATATATTATAGTTTTCCTAATGAGGCAACGTGTTATGACTGCCGGCAAGGTTCAATTTCAAAACAGCATCCACAAGCAGTTTCGGGCACCGTAATTCAATTAAGGCTGAAGCGTTCTTTTACGCATATGTGTGCTTACATGCCCATTCGAGTACGTGTAAGAGAATCCCGTACGCTCATTTACAGCGTGCAATGCTGATCTAGCCCTCTAACAAAAAGAAACAACAAGAGATAGCAAGCCAAAACAAAAAACAGAGAAGCACAACAGCAATGCCCTGTTCATCTAATTGCAGAAACTCATCCTGATGTCGCTCTACACCACCGGGAGGGACGAACGTCAGTTCACCGAGCCCAACGAATTCCGGCCAGAGCGGTGGCTCCGACACGGAGACCGGGCGAGTCAGAGCAGCAACTCGTGGGCGTGCTTACCTTTCGGGCTGGGCGCCCGGTCCTGCATCGGACGAAGGGTCGCCGAGGTGCAGATGCAGTCCCTCATTGCCAGGGTGAGTGTACGAGATGTCGTACTACTCGCGCATTGAAGTTCTTTCCCTGGCTGTCTAATGGCAGCTGGAGAACGAGACTGTCGTGGAGTCGTACTACAGAGACAGTCGGCCAAAGTGAGGGAGACGGCCTTGCAGCTGTTTGCATGAATGTGCATTCATACTGGAAGTCGAATCAAAACCGTAAAGTGGATCGACAAAATGTCGTACCTGAAAGCGCCTGGAATTAACAGCGTCTTCCGCTTGGTTGATGTACAACCTGATTGCGAATGCGGGTTGACCGCCAGACTAAATAAACTCTAAACCTGGAGTTTACTAACTAAAAGCTGTGAATACAGAGTTTAGTTACGCTCCTAGAAAATTACCGTTGACACCGTACGTTATAATAGCGCAGTTGTTTGTTGCAACAGCTAGCAGCAGTTGGGTGTAAATTGCAGATATCTTTATTCTGAAACAAAAATAACTTAACATTTCAATTCCGATTACGTTGGATTATTACAACTGTCAGCAAGAATCTGCCGTGTTTGTAATGTCCTCCCACGGTTGTATTTTCTGTCGTCCTTGCAGACGGTGCAGAAGTTCCACCTGTCGCCCATCACCGACCGAGATATCCCTATAAAAATGAGACTCATCACCACCCCGGAGGAACCCGTCTCCCTGCGGCTGACCCCGCGGGAAGGCACAGTGTGAACGAGAGGTCAACGACACTAGGAACTCCTTTGGGACGGAGCGCACCGCCTCGGAGCGCACATCACTCGTTTGGCCCACGAACATCAGCCGGCGCATGGACGTGCCGTTCTGGCACCGGACGCATCGCTCCTGGACCGAGCATCGGGTGCAGCCCAAGGCCCACAAGACCGTAGCCTACAACTTCTGCTGGACGGAACTTGCGAAAGAAGGCCTCCCTTCGCGGAGAAGACTCTCCACACTTGGCTGTTGCCTTCAAGCTTACTCGATGACCACAGGGAACCGTCTCTGTTTGGACCCGGTTGGACTGCGGTGACCATTAAGCTCCTCCCCGTATTTAGGCTTTGTAGAAAACAGAAAGTGATCTGCACCTTACCTGTACATTTAATATAACGACGGTTTTTTAGGTTATGTATTTCCAAAGGGCTGGAGTTACTACACCTGGACGTTGGTGCTTGGCTTGCTTTTGTCCAAGACCTTAGCGGTATGCATGGTTAACGGCACTTAGGAGTGAAATACTACCACACTTTAATTCGGAAAGTACCGGATAACACGGGCCTGTTCGTTCCCGAAAGCGAATACTTAATCATCTTGGTACCGGTTGGTTTGGCTCTGGTCATCATTCAAACTCCTCCGCTTCGCTCCACATGGTGCACGCTTACTTCAGTGTGCAAGCTTGTGTAGGACGGTGCTCCTGGAGTTACAATACTTTGACGCTGCGAACTTGGCTACAGGACACAAGCAGAAATGCATTGGTACATGAAATAGGTACAGCGTGGACAAAAACGACCCCGAGTATACGCTCCATTCGATGATTCAGGAAATCAGCAAGCGGGGCGAACCACGGAAAATGGAAAGCTCATCATACCTCATAAGTTCCCGGTGCTCATCTCAACCACGGGCAAGCTCGCTCATGTGTGTAGCCGGTAACTTCCTGCGATTTGAGACGAACAAAGGTTAACATATTATTTGATGAAGTCAGTAGTTGGTCGCTTGAGCGATTGGGTACTTACTCTATACTCTGTGGACGAGAGCTCGAAAGTTCCGCTTTCCTCGATGTATAGTTTGTCTCGTCAGGTCGGACAATTATTGTTTTTCCACTTTTTTAGGACTTGTTTTCTTTAAAGGTGGCAGTACTAGTCTCCCCTCTACATTCTTTTCTTGAGTACTAGATGGGACCCTATCAATGCAAAATGCCCCCCAAACAGTTAAACTCTCCTACCGCCCTCTCGCGCCTTGCGATAGCGTCCCTCCCCCCTGCCGAACTCCATAGTTTACTCCCCCGCGCTGATGTGGCCGCCTTGACGAAGTGTAGTCCCACTTCACGACCTCACTAATAACGTTGGAGCAACAAGAATCTGCCTTGGATCTCTCTCAGTGTCAGCAAGTTTTTCGTTCTCTCACACACATTTAACGAGATGTGCGCCCCCAACCCATCTCACGTCGCCTCCGATTAGTTAACCCTCGCCGCGCAACAATAAAAAAAGAAAAAAAGAAAAAACGATGAAAGCCGCAGAAAATTGTGTCGGCGTAGTACAGTTGTTCAAGAAGACCGGTAATAACGACACCTGGACCTGCCATTCGCTCGGCTTGTTTCTCTTCACATGCGGTAGGTCAATCATTCTATGTAAAACAGTAGCTTCTGAGAGAAAAAAAAAAAAGAGAGTCGTGAGCATGCATGCGGAGCGCAATGTCGTCTGCCTCTTGCGCAGGGCTTGCGGTGATGTCAAAACACAGAGTTCTGATTGTTTTTTATCGGAAGGATAGTGGGTAGACATCAATACTAGCAGCCTTGACGTCTACCCACTATCCTTCCAATCGAGCCAATCAGAACTCTGCAGCGTTCTGACGTCACCGCAACGTTTGCGCAAGAAGTAGGCGACTTGCTCCCCGCTTATGATCACTACTGCAAGCATGCACGCCATTCAGTGAGATGAAGTCCCCCTCCGGTTAGTGAAGAACAACAACTCCGGTTAAACAGGCTTCGCGACGCAGAAAAAAAGACCGGCTGGCACCGAATTTCAGATAACGAGTCTTGTTGTTTCTCTCACTGCGATCCGCCGAGAAATACTCGCATTCAGAATGCTTACGCTTAGGAATCTGTGTGACGTCAGTCGTGATTTTAACGCTCCCTTCCAACTGTCCAATCAAATATTTATTTGTCTTCCTCGACAGGAGAGGAGTTTTGATCTCGCTCGCATTAGGAAAGACGAAATACAACAAATGCGAACACAAAATGCGTCTCTGTCGTTCATCTATGTGTTCACTGAGTTCTGTCTTTGTATAGCCTAGGATTTTTTAGTTATATTAATGACCGTTCGACTTTGCCTCTCTCTCTCTCTCTCTTTCTCTCAGAACGAGAAGGAAAGCGAAGTATCATCCAATGCGATACCCGTGTGCTCATGGAGCCATTCATCGCGGACGACTGCATTTGTCGTGCGCGCTTGCGCGTACGCTTGTCTAGTTCTTAGGTTTCGTCTCTCTCGCATTTAAATTCTTTACTTTCGCCATCACCTCGCGTTTTTAATTTCTCTTCAAATTTCATTTATTATAGTTTTTTCGTTATCACCGGACGGAAAGGTACCGAGAAAATACACGAACACCCACACACTCATCAAATATCGTTCTATTTATCTTCCCACGTTCATGTCTAGAGTTGAGCATATAGACCATCCTTCACAAGCCGCGCTCTTTCATAGACTAACCCGAACCGAGGCAGGCTCGATGATGCAGATATTCTTGGCAGAAACCCACCGAGATTTTTTTTCCCTGTTAGTATTCTACTTTCATCCAGACTTGTCACTGTCGCTCATCCTCAACGCCCTTTTACGGTAGCCACTACAATCGAAGTGAGTGAGCATTGCGCAATGACCCGCTCATTGGACGCTGGCTGCCACGTGTCACATGATGGTCATGTTTGGTACGATATTATTTTCACGTAGACCGCTTGTGTTTATATGATTACAAAGAGACGCGACATAGAACTGGTGTGAGAAAGCAACAACGAGGGAACACTGACTGTATTCTTTTGTGCGCAATGGTCATTGTTTTCTAGTAATTTTATGTATACCTGCAGTGTGTTTTTAAATGCGTCGTGTGCAATCATTTTTCCCGTTTTGTATTCCGCGTGAAAGGAGATACTGTGATGTGTATAGAATATTGCGAAGCAAAACTCTGCATAGCTACGATACTAGACATCTTTTTTACGAGGTACAATATATATACGCTCCGGAACCATGTCTCTGCCAGTGTGAAGAGCTGCCTGCTCCGCGCACGCGAGTGTGCGAGACAGGCTTTAAGGGCAATATAAGAATATTAGGCACGTTCGGAGTAATGGAATGAAAATAAACACATTTTGCATCACCTTTACTACCTGTCTTCTGTGTCATCCATTTACTTGGCTTATTTCAAGGGCTTCTACAGGATGCTTCCAGGTGGTATACGCTCGTAAGAAAAGCAATATAAATAAGCCAATGAGCGCAGTGCATTCAAACGTTGCACAAGGGTGATTTTAGGTGTGCCATTTATCACACTCCGATTTTCTGCGTTTAAGTTTCTGGCAAAAAATACGAGAGAAAAAAAACGTTAATTCCTTTGTTTGGATTAAAGCAGAAGCAAACCGTCGGGTTGACGCTACTTTACACGTATGGCACAACATGGTACAAAAACGTATAGCCTTCCTATGGAGATAAACACCCTAAAGCAGATCCGTGTGCTTGGGGTACGATAAGTGAGCACGAGACGGTTTGTTTCATTTTTTTCCCTTTCAAAGGGCCTCTCAAGTTTTTCTTGTCTTGCATTTCTAAACGCAACAGGAAATGCGATTGCACTTAATGCATTTCAGTAATCTAGCAGTCCGCAGCTCCAAAGCCCCAAGTTAAAGACGTCAAAATAATAAAAAACAACATTTTGGCGGGGTACGTAAACATTTTTTAAGAATATATTTACGTCTTTAGGAAGTGGCGTAACGGACGTCAAGACAACACTTAGAATTAGTTTTAAAATACGCGTCTAAACGGCCAAAACTAATACCGCTAGGCGGGTGGTTTAAACTGATGATATTGCAATTAATGCAAAGATGCAAGCAAGCTGAGCAAGAATAAAGATAATAATCCCGGGAGAAAGGGAACAAGGGGATTTGTGTATGTCCTTTGTCCCCCTTGTTCCCCTTCTCCAGGGATTATTATCAGTCTAAACTATTTACGCCGTCTATGCGCGAGTATTTTATTCAACATCAAAGTCGCGCATGTTTTATTGAGACAAGCTTCTAAATAAAGTTTACAGATTAAACTAAATCAGTATCTACTGTGGTATCTGTACAACTGTAGTTGCCTGCAGTTGAACATAGGGCGTGACCGGCTCTGGAAAAAAACAATAAATCGCGTTTCAGAAGACTGGCCCATAAGCAGAGGTCACACACGTTGACACATAAGAAAAAGGGGAAGTATTGCGTCTTATTCTTGAGCTGCGCAAAGTAGCCTTTACAAAATTTGATTCTCGAATGAAGAAACGATGTTTTTTTTGTTTGAAACGTGTACATCTTGACAAAATATCATAAGGATAATCTAAGATGCACCTGCATGTACCTTACATATACAACCCTATGAAAAGAACACTTCAGCCCTGTTGTGTTATGGTACCCTTTCAGAACTTCAAACCCCTTTAGTCCATCAAACTCCTTAGGCTTTCAAACCCCTTCAGCCCTTAAAACCAATTTAGCCTTTCAGACCCCTTCAGCCCTTCAGCATTTTAGACGCCCAAATTACTAAACCATAGAACAAAAATGTAGTTTGAGACACTAATCGAAATTTATATCTGGCATTGTGTCTTTATATCAGACATTGACTCAAAAATGCAATTTGAGACACTATTGAAAATTTATATCAGATATCAAAAATTTATATCAGAAAAATCATCATGTGGCCTTGATAACATTCCCAAAGCTTTCCTTCGTCGTTGCGCTGAATCGCTTGCTAGGTTTCTTCCTGCCATTTTTCGTTCCTTAATTCATGTGGTGTTGTTTCCTCAGATTGGCGTATTGCACGGGTTGTACCTGTTTAAAAAAATTATTCTTCAATGTTAACTATTACCGTCCAATATCGCTCACCAGCACACCATGTAAGCTCTTAGAAAACATAATTTCTATTTATAGGACTGAATTCTTAAACAAGCATGACATCATCTCGCCTTTTCAGATGGCGTTCATAAAGGCCTTTCCACTACCACAGAACTTATTTCTACTATTTATTATTTCGCTTCAATAGTCGATAAACCCGGAAAGTCGACATAATCTTTCAAAACTTCAGTAAAACACTTAATAGGGTCTCCCATTTCGGTATCTCATTCAAACTTAACGAACTTGGCTTTCCCAGTACGGTTGTAATATGGATTTCCTCATATCTAAAGATGCACAAACAATCAGATCCCCTTTCAGTAAATTATGATGTCTCGCAAGGAAGTGTTCTTCGTCCGCTACTTTTCTCAATTATATTAATGATTTAACCTCATGCATCGCCAAGAGCGTGAGTATTTGTTTATTTTCAGATGACTGCTTACTGTTCAAGGCAATTAATTCCATTAGCGACCAGGTCGCGCTGATTGAGAGTCTAAATGCCATTTGTAACTCGTGCGATCTCTCGGAAATGAACCTTAATCTTGACAAATCTGTGTTTATGCGTGTCACCAATAAAAAGTGCCTCCCTGTGTTTGATTATTCTATTGGCAATACAATTATTTCTGAAACAGACAGTTTTAAGCACCTTGGCGTTACGATTACTACAAACCTCTCTTGGTCCTCACAGACTAAACAAGCCTGAGTATCTGCATGTCGTAAACTAGGCCTAGTGAGGCAAAAGCTTAAATACGTACCCTCTCAGGCCAAACTTCTAGCTTATAACACACTAATAAGGTCTCGGTTGGAGTGCGATTCCGCTGTATGGGATCCTTTTACGAAGAAATACATTAACAGGCTTGAACAGTACCAGAGAGTAGCAGTTCGTTTTATATATAATCGTTATCGCCGGCATGACTCTGCTACCGAATTAATTAGTACTAACAACATCATTCCTCTAGGATCCCGCAGAAAGCTAGCTAGATTAAAATTCACCTTTCAGCTTTGGCATCACAAACTTCGCCTTGAGTCTTCATCCTACATTCTGCCATCCTCTACAAGACAAACTAGACTTGACCATACAAAAAAAATAACTCTCGTGTTTGCTCGTACAAACATTTTTAGATGCAAATTTTCCCCCAGAAGTGCAATAGATTGGAATTCCTTGCCTCCCATATTTTTATTTCGGACAATGTTCTACTATCAATTGAACACCTCTTTCAAGTGCAATTTGTGTTTTATGTGTTATTAATCGCCCCTCGTTTTCTTTTGATATATTAATTCTGGGTGTGGGTATCATGTGAAGAGAAACCGCATCCACTCCTGCTTGGGCCGGATTTCTGGCCTGCAGTATCTTGTAAATAAAAACAAATAAAAATAAATAAGCGTGCATGTTGTAGCTCAAAAAGACGATAAGAACCAGTGTTTACTCAAACCCGTGTGCAAGCAGCTGAAGAGAAAATCGATCAGACCAAATTGAGATAACTTAGTTCTTAGTCGCAAAAATTATGTATCGAGGCACACGCAATACCGCTGGCTAAATTCCTGAGATGTATGGTAGTTCATCTAATAAAACCTAGCAGGTGCACCACACGCACACATACACATGGTCAGTAGCACGTTTTACGAAAACCACGGACGCTCAACGAACATCCACCTCCGTTGAGAAGTCCTGACTACAGTCACGGTGTCGTCCCTGATGTCATCGCGGCAGCGTCTCCGGCATATTTTTGCTCGCTTGATGCTTCTGACACGGTCGGACCAAGGGGCGCAGAAAACGAGGCCCCGAGAAACCTCTTTCTTGATCCGCACACTTAGCTGCTCTAAAAAATAGGTCCCATGAAGCCGACACTGAGCGCCCGCTCGTTGAGCATTTAGTTTGCACTCGTTGACAGATAAAAACAGGGCGACCAGCTTCTGATGTTGGCTGCATTTCGATTGACTTAAAAACAGGTTTCCTTCAAATAAACAACAAAAAGTCTCCCTCCCATTGTCCAGAACCGGCCTTAAAGCCGCAAGTGCCCTGGGAAAACTGCGGCAGTGGCGCCCCCCCCCCCCCCCTCCTATTTTCGCATCCAACATAACCTTGTTTGTAAACATGCCAGAGTGACCCAGCGCGAATGGTTGCGATTTTGTCGCTATCAGTCGAGAACCATCCTAAAAACAAACGACGTTCGCGAGCATTGCGAGTTTTGTCGGCACCGTGTTCAAATGGTTCAAAATACATCTATTTCACAGATTAACCAACATTCAGCTGTCGGTTTCCCATAACAAGCTAACGGCTGATGGACAGAGAAACCAAAAGCACAAGTTAACCAGGTCAGACACCCTAGAAGGCAACCTTCCGAGCCTTCAACATCGCAAATTGGGCTATGGCTTGCGACATGTCCAGGTTAGACGCTATCTTGTTTTCAATGGACAAAATTGCCAATGACGATAGCCTGTCATCTGTCATGGTTGACCTTAGGTATGTCTTTATAAGCTTTAATTTTGAGAAACTTCTCTCAGCGGTTGCCACTGACACTGGCAAATTGAGGAGGATCCTCAATGAAACCCACGTATAAGGGAAGTTGTCACGTAGATGGTTATCCAGAATGAACTGGATGACGTCCTGGGGAGCACTGCAACCGGTGGGCAGCAGGCTGAATAGGTAGATCAGCTCTTCGTAGAGATCTGTACCGTCGATGTCTGCAATTTCTAATTGTCTTAGTGAATGGTCAAGGCCTTGGCACAATTTAAAAAGTTCTACTTTGTCGGGAAGTCGGGTGAGGTCGTAAATGAACCCTCAAAGGCTCACGTGTTGCTCCATCTGCGTGAAGCTTTCTTCAATCGACATCTTTACGGTGTCAATCATTTCGTAGAAGAACTCTCGCTTGAATTTTGTCTCGACATCCTCAACCTCGTCTCGGCACTCATAACAAAATTGGAGTTTTTTTCGCCGCAGTCGAGGGGCCGGTATCATCACATTGTCAACACCCATGTTCTCGGCAAGACCGTTCGCAGTTGCCAGTGCAGTTTCGTACCCGACATTGCGACAATTGTGAATGTAATCGCTGCATGCTTTCACCAGCTGGGTGGCTGCTACGATGTCCTTCCTTTTGCATTTCGTGTTATTGCTTAGAACATAACTTGAAAAAGAATGTCGCACAACACAACAATCGACACGAGAAACTTAAGGTCCGTGAGCTGCCCTGCAAGAGTTCGAGCTTGATGTGGGACGCCAGGGTCTGCCTGCTGTGATTCGGCCAAACCAACAACG